CCCTTCCTTCTTTTTTCTTTTCCCCCAACCCAGTTGTTCTTTCCTTTTGAGCAGTTTCTTTCCCTTTCATAATGTCTACTGTACCTTTTATACCTTATTTACTCTTTTGGTTTCTCAAACCAGGGAGACAAAGAGATGTTTACACATGTGAGTCTGATATATTTTACTTATGAGTATGCTCTCTAGTTGCATCTATTTACCTATAAAAGCCTTGAGTTTCTTTCTTTATAGCTGAGTAATACTCCATTGTCTAAAAATACCACATCTTTTTTAGCCATTCCTCAGTTGATGGGCATTTGGGTTGTTTCCAAGATTTAGCTATAACAAATTGTGCTGCTAAACATGGGTGCACATATAATGCTGTGGTATGATGTCTTCAGTTCCTCTAGGAAAATACCCAGAAGGGCAATAGGTGGTTGAATGGGACCTCTAATCCTAGTTTTTTGAGAAATCTCCACATTAATTTCCACAGTGGTTGCACCAATCTACACTCCCACCAGCAATGGAGAAGTGTTCCTTTTTCCCCACAGTCCCTCCAGCATTTGTTATTGGTTGATTTCTTGATGATAGCCATTCTTTCTGGGGTAGAAGGAATCTCAGCATTGTTGTTTTGTTTTGTTTTTGTCTTTTTGAGGCAGGGTCTCACTATGCAGTTCAGGCTGACCTTGAACTCACTTTGTAGCCAGGAGGGCCTCGAACTCACAGTGATCCTCCTGCCTCAGCCTCCCAAGAGCTGAGATTATAAGCATACACCACCACATCCAGCAATCCATTTCAGTTTTAATATACTGCATGTTGAGAGATATGGGTCTAGGTTTAGTTTTTCTCCTGTGGAAAGCTAGTTTCCTCAGCACCATTTCCCGCCCCCCTCTCTGGTACTAGGAGTCAAACTCAGGACCTTGTGCTTGCCAGGCAGGCACTTATGCCACAGAGCTATACGCCTGGCCCCTCAGGACCATTTTTAAAGACATTATCTAGGGCCAGGGATATAGCTCAGTGGTACAAGCGCCTGCATGGCAAGCACAAGGTCCCAAGTTCGATTCCTGATAACAGAAAACAATCAGTCAATCAATCAATCAATCAATATGCTATCTTTCTTCCACTGAAAGTGTTTGGCCTCTTTAACAAGGGTAAGGTAGTTAAGTGTGCTTGGAGTTGTTTCTGCGTCTTCTATTTCATTCCACTGTTCCTTGGGGCTGTTTTGTTTTGTTTTGTTTTGTTTTGTTTTGTTTTGTTTTGTTTTGTTTTGTTTGCCAGTACCATGTTGGTTTTATCACAGCAGCTTTGTAGTACAACTTCATAT